TTAATAGAGTCAGTATAGTGTACAACCTAAGAGCCTGAGATAAACCAAGAAGTCCTAAGTTCATATCTTAGCCATACTCTCTTCTAGTCAATGGTCATCATATGATGGGCTTGGATACACAGCTGGAGTTGAACCTCTTCCTAAGATTAACAATTTAGAAATACACTCTCGTCTTTTTCTCAACAGCAAAAAAAAAAAAATTAAAAAAAAAATCAAACATCCATCAAAAATATGTGTCACCTTTAAGATTATTCTGTTAAGAGGCCAATGGTATTATTCCTAAAAACTCAAGTCCTAAAACCCAATTTGTGAAAGCAAATGTCATTTACATCTTTTTGTTGCCAGAATTGTTGTGATGTTTAGATTTGCAACATTTTGAATGTTTGCTACCTGTGTTAATAATGACATTGTCACGATGGAAGCTCATAACCGGTTGTACTAACACGGTATTTTCATTCCACTTGGCCCCACACCCCTCCCACATCACATACACAGTGCAGTGGTGCCTCGCTTAACGATTTTAATTGGTGCAAAAAAAATCGCTATGGGAAAACATTGCTAAGCGAAACGCGTTTTCCCATAGAGATGCATTGAAAACCGGATAATCCGTTCCAATGGGAATGGATTGCCGTCCTTAAGCGAAAATCGCCATAGGAAACATTGCTAAGCGAAACGCGGTTCCCCAATTGAAATGCATTGAAACCTATTCAGTGCATTTCAATGGGGAAAAAAAATTACAACAAATGCAAAAAGAGTCAGGACAAAGTCAGATTAGTTTAACAAAGGGTTTATTAAGTGCACTTATGATTTCAAGCATTCTAAACCTTTTTAAAACATTTTTAAACATTTAAAAGACAGCCAACACGAGGCTGTCAAAACCATCGTTAAGCAAAACAGGGGGACCCAAACTGTCATCGCTATGCGAAGCAAGGTCCCAAACATCGCTATGCGAAAATCGCCCATAGGAAACATCATTAAACAGAGAGCAAGATTGCTCTGGAAAACTAATCGTTAAGCGATTACATCGTTAAACGAAGCAATCATTAAGCAAGGCACCACTTTATATGAACTTGTGTCCCACATATTGTGCTCTCTGTGTCTGAAGAAATGGCTCCACAAAAGCTCACATTGGAGTAAATTTGTAGATGTTAAAATACTTTTGTTCTTGTGTTGCTGTCTTTGTTGAAACAAAGTACCGTAACATAGGTCCTTTTCTGAAAGCCTTTTTCTTCTTTTTGCTTGAATAAGATTTATAGGAGAAGGAAGTAGAAGGAAAAGCATTCAATTAGGGAGGGAAAAAAGAAGGGGTGAATAATGAAAAGAAAACTGGGGAGTCAAATGTATACAGTGGCTGACTTCACCGATCATGGTAAACCAGGCATTCATAGAAATCTGTTGTCTCAGTGGACAAGTAGTGTGCTGATGTGTACTGTTCAATCTTTCTTGCTTTCAGACAAAGTAGCTAAACAAACCATGAAGCATAGCTTGTGGTTTGTTTACTCCATGACAGTCTAACAGTTGGCAGTGCCTCTTCTCTGGTTTGTTTCCTCCCAACAAATCAGAGAGGGAAACCATGAACAAACTCTGGGTTCTTTTTCTGGCATGTTGGGGAAGAACACATCAGAGAAGGGAAGCTGACGGCCACCAGATGACACAATAAACAAACTGCTTAGCAAAGCTCCTACTGAAAGAGGAAATGATCAAGCATCACTATGCTGTTTTTAGCTACTCATTCATAACAAACCATAGTGGCTAGGCTTGTTGTGTCATGCACATTTTTCCGCTGTGTTAATTATATGGGACAAAATATGGTGCCCTGTTCTGCAAGTGCAGTGGAATAGGGCTTGCAATGTGCAGCGTTTTCAGAGCTTCATCAAAGATGTATTCCTGATGAAGTTAACACAACATAAAATCACATCTGCAGTCTCCATGACCCACAACTGGATTATGGAATTGATTGTGCAATTCACAGCATGACTGTTGTGCAGCACAGCTGCAGAAATCCTTTGTGAATATCACTTCCACCTTGGTAGGTTTTCCCCTACTGCTTGCTTAATTTCAAGTTATACATATGGAGTGGCACAATAAGATTCCAGCCAATATGTCCTTGTGAAAGCATACGCCCCACTAAATGCAGTGGTGGGACAATCTTTGACTTGTGCAACAGCAAACCACAGGTCATGAGATATCTCAGAGGGAGTACAGTGTTGCATTCCACACACTCTGATCTAGATACAGACTATAGTGTGCGGCCTAAATAATTCAATTTTTACTGTGGATTAAGCATGCTTGTCCCCAAACTGGTTTGGGCCCCAAATTCATGCATGTTTCATCAGAGTCAGTCCCCTGAAATGAGGCAGGTGTCTTAGGTGATGAGTTGTAGAAAGCAATGGATTGGAGGCAGGAGGTCCTCCCATACCAACCATCGCCACAACTGACCTGAGGATTGCAAAGTGCTTGTGACACTTTGCTTTATTTCCACTTCCTAGTGATAAATTAACACCTTCCATTTCCCACTTAATTCTCTAGGGGCTGGAGAATTGCCAGAGCTCCCTGCTCCTTTCATTGCGTGCCTCCTCACCAAGCAAAAGCTGCTGCTAGGTGATAAGGACACTGTCTATTTCTACACTCATTGAACAGGAACTGCAGCAATGAGTTGCCATTTTTCGTATTCCTCCCATCATCTGTGCTGTTAAAAAAGGCTGAAGTGGTGGGCTTTCTATCACTCCTGCAACTCATCCCATGAAAGGTGTTCTTTCTTTCACCCCCACCCCAGGGGATTTTAACATGGCTAAGTTTGAAGATGGCTAGATAGTTCAGAGAGCTTGATTCCTCACTGTGCAGAAGAGACAGCCTATATGGCCTTAGGGAAGTTGTAGTGTCCCAGGATGCCCCTAGAAGAAGGAAATGGTAAATGACTTCTGAGTATTCTCAACCTAGAAAATGCTAAAAAGGATTGCCATGTCAGAACAGACTTAATGGCACACAATGATGATGATGATGATGATGAAGAAGAAGAAGTTTGAAGAGGCAGCTTTGTACTTGTTCTTCTTTGCCTTTAGTTTATTTTTCTCTGAGCATAGGGCCCCAAGGCAATTCACAAATGGATAAAGAACAGAAACAACTAAAAGTACTAGTTACAACACCGCAACATTTACAAAAAATAATAAGCATATAATAATAGTTAAAGGACTATTAAATTCAAATCAGTTTAAAACACTTTTAAAACACAATGTGAAAAGAAATAACACAGCATTCCATAATAAAATATCTTTCTCCTGCCCAGTTTAACTGCCAAAAGTTCACCTATTTTTCCAGTTCTGTTCTAGTGACTTGGCCACATTTTGGGGTGGTGTCTTGTGCATAAATAGCTAACATTTTGATCATTATCAAAGGAGTTTTCTCCCAGTGAAGTACTTTACAAGAACAGATGCTTTTATGCTCAATCTAGATCTACTTTTTTGAAACAATTTCGCAGTGTTTCACAGTCCTTTATATTTTGCCAAAAGTTCATGCAAAGCCCCTCAAAGCTAAATCTCACATGTCCTTGGTTAAGGGAGTGAAAGGCACTGACTTTAAAATAGTTAGTGTGGATGTATAAATGTATTCCAGAGAGAATATCCTGAAATTTTATAGATATCACGGATTCTGTGTTTACTTATTTTTCTAAAACTGATTCAAACTGAGAGAAGAAAGGGAGCAGCATGCAAGTGAGCAAAGTTTGCTTGAAGACCTCTTAGAACTTTGTAAGTAACACAGTGAGGTTGTAGTGAGCCTCAAAGGTTGATACAAAATAAAGCTTACCAAGCATTCCTAACAGCTATATCCGTTGCATTTCCAGTGTAGTCTCCAAGTCCCGCTGATGAATGTGAGAAGTTGACATGGTCAGATGCATTTGTGGAGCATTCCACATTCATAGAAGACAACTTGGAGCTTTTTTATTTAAGGTTTCATTGCTTTTAGCATGAAAGAAATAAATCACAGAATATTTCCAATAATGTTTCCTAGTCCCTTTATTTTTTTCTTTTTTTTCTTTTTAAAAACTTTTTCTTGAGTTTTTAATTTTCTATCAGTCCATTCAAAATAGCATATCAGAACAATACCTATTGTTATACAGTAATAGCAGATTTCTTATTCATAAACTCTTATGCCTTCATTGTCCACTCTATTTACTCTGTTTTTTTTAATTCAGTATCGGATTTCAACAAAGGGTGCCATATCTTCATAAAGTTATCTTCTTTAATTTCCCCTCTGTATAATCTGACCTGATTAGTCAGTTTCTCTATCAGCACCACTGCCCATACTTTATTATGTATCTTTGCAAAGTGATGTCCTGAGCACCTTTCCAGCACATTTCCTAGTCCCTTTGGATCTCTGTTGTGATATCAGCAACAGTTACAAATCCTGGAAAAACACAGAAGATTAGCTTCATGTTCACTCACTGCTTGTTACATATTGGCTGAAGTCCTGTTGGCATAATTGTACCTGTGGAAGGCTGATGATGTCATCAACAGGAGCAATTTTCGAAAATTAAACACTTCTCAATTCTGTCATGTAGCTCTTACAGCTCTCACTTTACAGCCTTCATTATGTGAAAGCCACAGGAGCTGCAGGGTAGGAGAAGCAAGTCTTTAATTTCGAAAAATTAATGTCCCCAGTAATGTAATCCTCTGATGGTAGTGATGTTGCTTTAGATATTTTGTACTTTTAAGTCAACAGAGATATACTCTTTATTTCAAAGCTGATATAAATGTGATCAATGGTTGACTCTTCAGCTTTTTAGTACAGTCGTTATGTAATGGAATGATTGCTTCCTTGGATGCCTTAGGCTGAGGGAATGTGATTCTATGTCAGCTGACTTTCAAAAATCCCAAGCCAAAAATAGTCTGATTGGAATAAAGTCATCCCATGGAAGTTTTATACAAAGATCACAAAACATTAAAATTGAAATAACGAAAATAGTTGAAAATTTGTGTTTCTCTCTTTTTCTCTTTTCCCAGGTTACATATTTGGGTAAAGTTTCCACAACAGGGATGCAGTTTTTGTCAGGATGTACAGAAAAGCCAGTCATTGAGTTGTGGAAGAAGCACACACTTGCCAGAGAAGACATCTTCCCTGCAAATGCCCTCCTGGAAATCCGCCCTTTCCAGGTTTGGCTTCATCACCTGGACCTCAAAGGAGAAGCAACTGTCCACATGGATACCTTCCAGGTTGCACGCATTGCTTACTGCACTGCCGACCACAATGTCAGCCCAAACATTTTTGCTTGGGTTTATCGGGAGATCAATGACGATTTGTCCTACCAGATGGACTGCCATGCTGTAGAGTGTGAGAGCAAGCTAGAGGCTAAGAAGTTGGCTCATGCCATGATGGAAGCCTTTAAGAAGACTTTCCATAGCATGAAGAATGATGGCCGGATCCACAGGAACAGCTCTTCTGAGGAAATGTCTCATGAATTAGAATCTGATGATGGCTGACTTGAACTGGTTTGATGGTTAAGCAAAAGCAGAAATGGCCCTGGGAATAGAAGCATATAGATGAGTAAGCAACAGTTCAATTTGGGAATAATGGAACTCCCAACACCTGACCGATCAGCTTTTCAAAATGAAAAATAAGCAATTCACTATATTTCCCCAAATATATGCATCTTTATAATAATTGCATCACAGTGAAATCTGCTGCTGTTTTCTTAAAATGTGACAAAGCTTGTTTTCTTGTTCGTCCAGTTTACCATTCAGCCCCGCTTTTATCTTTACAATTCAGGTTTGTTTCTTAAAGTTGATAAATTATTTTTATTTTTTGGTTGGAATCCATTGAGAAGTTTTAACAAAAAGCTTGTTTTCAGATTTGTTGCTAGCATCTAATGCAATAGCAAATGGGATCTGTTTCTATAGAGCAAGCAAGAAGGAATATAAATTGATGGCCACTGGGTAATCCTTTGGGTGCCTCCCGGCTGAAACAGCTACCTGCAGCCTTTTAGATAAACAGCCTGACAGTCTACAGTTAATTCACATTTCACAGTTTGAATATTCAAAGATGCTTTTATGTACACCTTATAATCATATGCTATATTTTATTCATTTTATTTTTTAAAATGTACCTGCAGCCACTCATCCTCCACTTAACCCCACTGTTTTTAAACTTGTACTGCAGGGAAACCAAAAGGTGGGGTGAGGAGTGGGAAATTGTTTCTGAATTCACTCTCTTTGAATTCCTGATTCAATGAATAGGACCACTGCTGAATTTTGAGAAAAAGATTTAGACCCCAGAGCAGTTTCTAGTAAGTTCTCTTTTAGTCATGGCGTGATATGAGAAACATAGTTTCACCATAGCCTTGCTACCAACAGAGTCCATATTGGCTTATTTACTTTACTTGCTTTCAAGGGCCATATTTGAACAACCATAATGATCATATGCCATATTTCAGTGGAAAGGCAATGATCCTTTGAGATCAGGCTTGAAATATTACCTCAAAGTAATATTTCCTGAATCTTTTTCTGGTCAGAGATGAAAGGGTTCATAACTTGAGAAACTTGTTGGTTTTATTAAAAAGAGAAGAAAAAGGCCACGTGCTGATTACTAGTTTGCAGGTAACGCTGCTCGTTTATACCATCTTGTGCATAAATTGTGGTAATGTTAGGGGCACTAGGGCACCTTACAGAAGCCTTAAAAGAAAGCTTATCAAAGCAGATAGCTATAGAAGTCTATTCCATTGTGTGTGATTATGTACATTCTGTGTGCATGTGTGTTTATGTGTGTGTGTGTGTGTGTGTGTGTGTGTGTGTGTGTGTGTGTGTGTGTGAGAGAGAGAGAGAGAGAGAGAGAGAGAGAAGGAGAGAAAAGTCAGTGTTAAAGCATGTAGATTGGTCATGGGGACATAATGTGGAGGACTTGCACCTCTTGGAAATACTATGCTTATTGCTTTCCAATGTATGTAAACTATTCTGCAACATAAAAGCATTCATACTTTAATAATAAAAATATTAATTAAATATTGATAATCTTAGAGTCCATTATTTTATATGTGCATTCAAGTTGTGTTTCAGAAACTGCTTTTAATATATTATTTTATAAGCAGCCATTCAGAATTGTTCTGCTGATATCTAATAGAGACAAATAGGACTTCTAATGTCTTTCATACCTTTATCTCAGTGCAGTAACCTCAGCTAAGACCATAACATATTATGAATAAATAAATTTTTAATGAAGCATTATCTCTTTAATAGCATCCTTTAAAAATTAGCTTGTACTCATTTTACCGACCTCGATCTCAGAAGGATAGAAGGCTGAGTCGACCTGAACCGGCTCCCTGGAATTGAACCCCAGGTCATGAGCACAGTTTTGGCTGCAGTACAACAGTTTAACCACTGCGCCACAAGGCTCTAGTGGTGCATATTGGGGGAATATACACTGATGAGACCTGAGCTGGTGATGACTGCCCAGAAAGTGTTCCTAGGATTATGATCACTAGCTCAGTAAAACTGTTGAGCCAATGTATGCTGCTGTGAAAGAGGCAAATTCCATGTCGGGCATAGTTAAGGAAGGAGTTCAAACTAAAAATGCAAATATCATAATGCTGTTACATAAAACTGCAGTGTAACTATTAATGACCTCACCTGTGTTACAGTGTAATAAAGCTTAGAAAAGTTACTTTATGAAGTGTCTCTAAAGATCTTCCATCCTAAAGTTAAGGTCTTTAATGAACAGCTGAAAAGCAGCAAGAAAAAGGGCAAAGAAAATTATCAAGAGGATAGAGGATTGATACCAGCTTTCCAAGAGCGAAGGTAGTAGTGTTTCATAACCTGCTTACACCTTAATGTGACAGCTTTGAACTCGAGAACTTTTATACATGCAAAAGCAGTGTGTTTAAGTCTTTCATTAAAACTGAGAGGCCCATCTTAAATTAGCATAGCAAGTAAATAAAAGCAAGCTCTTGATTAAGGAAGTCCTCATTATCTTTGTTCACTATATGGCATCAGATATGTCAAATTAAATGTGCAAATGGCTAGTGTCTCAAGAAGACTGCGGCAAAATAATAAACTAGGAAAAATTACATAGGCTTGTCAAATCTGGTTCCAATTAGACTGTTTTTCAGGGAAGAAAATGCTGAAGTTATCTTTCTGATCTTTACTATAAAAAAAAGTTATTAAAGTTTTTTTTTGAAAGCCATAAATGCAACTGGTTGAACACCAAGGCTACTTGAGCTGTAGGTCAACAGAGGTTTTCCTACAAAATTATTCCTATAAACATCAATTCCCCTGAATCAATTTGGTTATTGATAAGCCAATTTGAGATTTAGTTTCTCACCTCATTAAAAGTTATTTCACTTTGGAAGGTTCTCTTGAGAACTTTCTGGACTCATATGAGCCCTTCTCTTCCAATTCAGAGTTCCCTTAATTTAATACAAAACTTCAGCCAGAATGGAATCAATAAACTTCAGTTACTGACTTCTAATGCCTAGAAGAAAATATGTTTGTCATCTAAGAGCTATATTTGCTCACAAGAAATAAGATCCAGTCAACTGTACTAACCCCATTCCCAATCTTTCCCTACTGCATGAATCAAATATAGGTGCTGTAAGGATTTGTATCTGAGATGTAACTGTAATTTAAACTGTTGTGGTTATGAGGACTCCTGATCTAGAATCTCTTTATTCCTCATTTGTTTATTTGTTTTATTTATGAAGAAATTTCTACATCGGAGCAGTACAAATAAAATCATAAGTATGTCAATATCTCTTATTAATTTCATACTATTCTTTTCCTCCAGTAAGGTCAAAGCAACATACTGTACATGGCTCATCATTTCTCCAATTCATCCTTCTAACTACCTTGAGAGATAGGCCAAGCTGAGAGGGTGTGATTGGCGTAAGATTTTTTTATACTTAAACATTTGAAAATGTCTTCAACAACACAATTAACAAAGAGAGTTTAGAAGCTTGACATATAGAAGCTAACTCTTGGGGCTAGAATATTCAAATATATTTCCTAGTTCTCAGCTTTTGTTTTTGTTTTAAAAGAATACCAGACTGAAAGCAGCAACGCCATTTGCAATAACCCACTCTACTACAAGGCTTTGCATTTAATGTGCAAATGGGAAGTTTCTGTTTGCCATACAGGTAGTTTTATGTGCAAGAAAGAGAGCTTTGCATTTATGTGGCTGCTTTATTTAAGTACACAGGTGTGGAAATTTCACATATTAGCTCTAAATACCTCAAAAAGCCCTATTGTGATCAAATCTGTCCTAGTTTCTTCCTTTTTCTAATTAAAAGTCCATGTAGGAATTTGATAGTCACCCTACTGTCATCAGGGCATTCCTTTGCTGGGTGTTCAGAAGTGTTGCTGTGCTGATGTAAAAGATGACCAGGGGTGATAAGTGGTGCTGAGTGACTACGCGTGGGATCTGAAGAAAAAAAGCCCCTTAAGCAATGCCAAATAAAACTAGTTTGTGGTGACAGAGTACTTCCAATGTTTCTGGTACCAAAAGTGAAAGTGCAATTGAGAATTACAATTCTCAATGGAGCCTTCCACTTGATCCTAAAAGTCTACTTCTAGTGGCATAATGTTCACAGCAATCAAAATAAAGAAGGAAATTTTAATACCCGCTGTGTTTACATAGTGCTTAGTGTTTATATAGTGCTGCTTTTACTTTTCCCTTCTTTCTGAAAAAGGTGGTGCCTTGTTTGCTGCTGAAGAATTTTCCAAAACGGTAATAATAGTCATCTTGAATGCCATCATGATTTTGTACCTAATCTAAATCCTGTGCTACTACACAAATTGATTTCACATTAGGCATGAATGTAATTGTATAATTTACTCTCTCTCTCTTACATGCTAAATTTAAACCAGATGAATTGCAACTTTGTCCTGAGCTTGAGAAATTGAAAGAATTTCAGTTTTTCATCTCTACCCTCTGCACTCTATTTCAAATTTCATATTGTGTGAAAGCAGCTTTTTGTGGAATTTCAAAGACACATGAAACCATGTGAAATTTGCCAGCCTAAACCAACAGCCGCTGGAAGCTGACATCCTAGTACTCATCAATTGAGAAGTGTTTTCAGTTGCCATACTTCCTTTTTCTCCCCTCAATGATCACTTAAATGGAGTCAGTTCTAACTTATTTTAAAGGATACATGTTCCCAATCTCTCACTCTGGCAGCATTATGTTATGTAAGAAGTACCATAGTTCAGTGACAGTGCTTTATAGCTGTGTGCTCCAGCTGTTTGCATATTGCAGTAACTCAGTGGTTCTCAAATGGCACCCTGAGGTGCTGCCACACCCATCCAAGGGCACCACAGAATCTTCAGAAGTATTTCCACAGAATTGGTACTCAGACTAGGCTTGACCTCTCCCTTCTCTCCCTCCCCCCCCCAACCCAATGAGTTCAGTGACAGTGCTTTATAGCTGTGTGCTCCAGCTGTTTGCATATTGCAGTAACTCAGTGGTTCTCAAATGGCACCCTGAGGTGCTGCCACACCCATCCAAGGGCACCACAGAATCTTCAGAAGCTACTGCAGTAACTGATAGGAAGAGAATTCTTTCCAGACTTATTTTAAAAAAAACAGTTGTGCTTGAAAGCACTGAATAATCTGTACATGTTTTCTCCACAATACCACAGGGATAGCCTGTGTACATCCATTAACGTTATCTTCAGAACTGCGGAAGTCTACAATAAAACATAAAAATCAATTTTGCCCTTGAAAGGGGATGAAGTTTTTAGAAGTACACGTTTTACTTTTTGTTTTGCAAACTCAAGCCTCTAGTATATCAAATGCATCTCAGTCCTCCTCTTCCTTTGTAGTTTCCATATTCCTTGAAAAGGAAACAAGGATATATCAACGTATTCACATAGAGATCAGGACTGGGTCATAATTTTCTTTCATGCATAAATTTAAGAAAATACTTATGTGTTTGTTGTTCCATGTAACAGAGTTATGACTTCATGACCTTACATATTCAGATAAAGGCATATCCCATAGATGGGAAGCTGTACAGATATAACAGTAGTTTACTAATTAAATTTTCCACCCTTCCATAACTCCTTTACTTTTTTCCCTTAAAGGCCATTCTTCTAAGTTCATTT